CACAGGGTTGTTGTGAAGAAACAGCAGAGAGGGGGAGAGTCATGCATGTCTCTGTGAGTTCTGTGGAGGGAGGGATGGTGAGCTATAAATGCAATAATAAGCAATAAAGCCCCAACCTGCCTCTACGATGCAATGGTTATAGGACCCAAAAGTCAAAACCACCGTGTCATTTCCAGTGGAGACACGTCAGAGAGACCCAAGCTGTCCTCCTGTGGGTAAAAAGACATAAAGTTAGAATTGGGAAGGAATCCGTCGAATAGTTTTTATATCGATAAAATAGGTGGCGATGGCAATCTGGACTTAATTTTGATGCTGTGCCGTACTTCATAACACCGGCAGTGTCTTAAAAACGTAATGAAAAGGCTTGATAGATTACAGAACTAATCCATTTAGTGCTCCAATAAATAACTAGAGAAATACATCCAGGATTTCAGAAAGAGGGGAGGGGAATTTGGCAAGGCATGTAGGTTTTGCAGAATTATTCCGGATGGCGAAGTCCAAAAAAAGAGAAAGGTTGGAGATCATAGAATCATAGATCTGTAGAGTTGGAAAGGACCACAAGGGTCATCCAGTCCAACCCTCTGCAATACAGGGAAGGTGGCAGCCATGCTGGAAGAGTTGTGCATGGGCTGCCTATTGGCTGAAGAGCCACGTTTAAGGCTTATTGCTCACACATTAAACCATAAACCAGGGGGAGGGAGCCTTCTTCACCCCGAGATCTAAATGGAACCTCAACCAGTCCTCTGTCTGCTGCAATCTGGACCAAGGGAGTTGTCTTCAAGGACAGCCCTACGTAGATTTCATTGCAATGGATAGCCCCAAAGAAAGCAAAGGCACAGTGGAGCTTTGTTTAGGCTGCTCAGCCTCCCCGCCTAGCAGCTGACATATGGGGTATCGCAGCAGCTGCTGCTTCCCCACATGCCCTCCAGCCTCCACCCAGCCCCAGAGCGTCAACTCTAGATACTTTGGTCTGGACTGGAGAGAGAGATGGAGAGCAGGGGGAAATAGGCTTTTAGAGGTTTTTTAAAGCGTGCTTCCCACTTATGCATGCAGGAGGATGTAACCCCCACATAAGTGGAGAGACAGGGACACCTGTATAAAGATTTCAGAGCCCAAGCCTGAGACCTGGGATGAGCCTCTGAGATCCCTCCCACCAATAAGCCCTGGAAATGGAGGTTAATTGGGAGAGGGGAGGAGGAGGAGGACAGACACACCCATGCCTACATATACACATACGCCAAGAGTCCTTGCAATGATTTGCAGCTAGCTCCTGCTGGACTGAAGCTTGAAAGCTTCATGCATAGTCTTGGGGAACCTGGAGACTCAATTTCTCCACCAGACACCTGGAATTAGCTGAGCAAACCTGAAGATTTCAGGTCAGACCTGGAAGTCAGGCAGCCCTATTTCCAGAGACCCCCAAGGATGGTTCTTTAGCTTTGCAAATTTTATAACATATTGGTGGACTAGGGGGGAAACTATTTTTTTAAAAAAATAATGGAATACCTAGACCAGGCAAGGGTGATGTAAGACCACCCGTTCATCACAGGCTGGGCGTGAGACCCTCACGCTACCTACCACCCCACCGGCCTCGGCCGTCGCTCAATGAGTTAAAGGCATTCCGCAATCGACAATTAATGTACAGCTCATTCTGCAGATCTCTTACCAGAAAGCACAACAGGGCAATTAACCCACTAATACACTAGGCTATTACGTTGCTATGTCTCTTATTTTAGCCCGAGGTGATTTGAAACGCATTGGATTAAAGGATATTACAGGAGATAGCATGAAAAATAGTTTAACGTAATGAGTCGTCCCGTGATGTCTGCTATTAAAGATGATTTGCGGTCAAAAACTACAACATATTGGAGTTCAGCCATTTAGAACCTCAGGAGAAGGGGGGGGGAGGCTTAACCCTTTCCTTGCTGCTGCCAGCTGAGTAAATCGAAGAGATAGCGGCACAGGCACACACACACCCTTCCCAGTGCTATATTTACTGGGAGTTGGGTGGAGGATAAAGGTTATTGTCGGGTTGCAGATGCCATCATCTGATCTGGAAGCACATCTTCTTAAACCCTCAGCTTCCCCACCGTTACCCAGCGGACGCTTAAGTCAGTTTCTTCGTCCTCGTAATTATTCTACTGCTATCCAATTCCAAATGTAATTCTAGGCTGCACCAACATCTGCGCAGTGTCCAGATCAAGGGGAGGAAGAGTACCTCTCTATTCCGCCTTGATCAGACCCCACCTGGAGTCCAGTGTCCAGTCTGAGCATCACAGATGAAGAATGGTGGTGACATGCTGAAAGGTGTGCAGAGGAGGGCAGCCAAGATGATTAAGGACATGGGTAGGCAAACTGAGGCCCAGGGGTCAAATCCGGCCCAATTGTCTTCTTAATCCAGCCCACAGATGGTCCGGGAATCAGCGTGTTTTTATAATAATAATGTATTATTTATACCCTGCCCATCTGGCTGGGTTTCCCCAGCCACTCTGGGCAGCTTCCAACAGAACACTAAAATACAATAACCTACTAAACATTAAAAGCTTCCCTAAACAGGGCTGCCTTCAGATGTCTTCTAAAAGTTTGGTAGCTATTTTTCTCTTTGAAATCTGGTGGGAGGGCGTTCCACAGGGCGGGTGCCACTACCGAGAAGGCCCTCTGCCTGGTTCCCTGTAACTTGGCTTCTCGTAGCGAGGGAACCGGCAGAAGGCCCTCGGCGCTGGACCTCAGTGTCCGGGCAGAACGATGGAGGTGGAGACGCTCCTTCAGGTATACAGGACCGAGGCCGTTTAGGGCTTTCAAGGTCAGCACCAACACTTTGAATTGTGCTTGGAAACATACTGAGAGCCAGTGTAGGTCTTTCAAGACCGGTGTTTTACATGAGTAGAATGTGTGCTTTTATTTAAAATGCATCTCTGGGTTATTTGTGGGGTATAGGAATTCGTTCATTCCCCCGCAAAATAGATAGATAGATCGATCGATCGATAGATAGATAGATAGATAGATAGTCTGTCCCCCCCCACAAGGTCTGAGGGACAGTGGACCGGCCCCCTGCTGAAAAAGTTTGCTGGCCCCTGATCAAGGGTCTGGAAACCAAACCTTATGAGGAATGGTTGAAGGAGCTGGGTATGTTTAGCCTGGAACAGAGGTGACTTAGAGGAGATATGATAGCCATCTTAAAACATGCTGTCCCATGGAGGATGGAGCAAGCTTGTTTTCTCCTGCTTCAGAAGGCAGGATTTGGACCAATGGTTTCAAGTTACAAGAGAGGAGATTCCAACTAAACATCAGAAAGAATTTTGTGATAGTAAGAGCTGTTCAACAGTGGAACGGACTCCCTCAGGAGGTGATGGACTCTTCTACCTTGCAGGTTTTTAAGCAGAGGTTGGGTGGCCATCAGTCATGGATGCTTCAGCTCAGATTCCTGCCTCGCAGGGGGTTGGACTAGATTACTTGGGGTAACTTCCAACTCTGCAATGCTATGATTCTATATTCTGAACAGCAAAGGTGCCTTTGGGCAACGCTCAGGTGATCATAAACTTTACACGCTCTACAGCAATGATGCCTCCAGCCCATGCGATGTTAATTTCACCAAGTGTGTGTCCTCAAGATCTCTTACCACTTCAGGCAAAGCTAATCTGCTGCATTTAATACACCTGAGTTAGCATTCTTGCTTAAGAACTGAAGTTCTTAAAGCCGGATGGCAGGGGGTTCAAGAGTTCAAGAGTCTTCCTGGAAGACCTTTTTGGAATTCCCCAGAGCAGAACCAAGTGGTTTGGTCCATCTGTTATCAGCAGACTTGGGGAAATGCCAGGGTGAAAAATCCTTGGGGGGGGGGCGGACCTAAAAGTGAATGGAGAGACTAAAACAGCCCCGGGAAGGGTGTGAGCATGCTCTGTGGCTACAGAACATTGGCTATTGGAGGAGAATTAGGAAACCAAGCGGGGAATACTGGCGGGAATCCTTGACACTGCAACACTTGACGCTGCAATACTTTGTTGCAGGTGTGGGTCATTCCATGCAACACTCAGACTCAGCCAAAGGAATTGCTTTTTCCCAGCAAAGAAATATTCAGACTGGGGGATGCAATTTTCTTTTCATGAGAGAGGCACCAACCTTGAGGATAAACACTGAGACTCTGTACCACAAATTAACCCAGCTCCAGTTTGGGTGTGTGTGTGTGTGTGTGTGTGTGTGTGTTTAAGTGTCGTTTGTGAAGGCTCCTTCTGCCACAAAATGTATATATATACACACACATTAATAAACAAATATTCAGTGGGAATGGATGTTAACTGGATTCAATAAGCCAGTGACTCACGCCCCATCCCTTCAGTGCTCTCTTCGCGACTGCCCAGGTGTCTCGTAGGACACACCATACATTGAAAGCACACAACCTTCTGCCAAAAGAACCCTGGGAACTGTAGTTTGATAGGAAGGGTTGGGAACTGTTGTTCTTGGGGATAAAAAACAGTCCCCAGGATTCTTTCTTTCTTTATTTAAAATATTTAAACACCCGTGTGAAAAAATGAAAAAATATTGGGACATGATATATAACGAAATGAAAAAACTATTTAAATACACTTTCCCAAAGAAACCAGAAGCATTTTTGCTAGGGATAACAGGAGATGAATTAAAAAAGGAAGATTACAAACTATTCATGTACGCAATGACCGCCGCTAGAATCTTAGTGGCTCAGAAATGGAAATCCCAAGAAATCCCAACTTTAATGGAGTGGCAAAAAGAATATGGCACTGGGCACAGTTCCTTAAGAACCTCAACTTCCATGTTTCAAAAGAAAGGGCAGGGCTTCTAGCCTATTTGACCTTGAAGCTGGGCTTCGAAGACTGTGCAGGCCAAAGAGTTTGCGTCAATGCTGTGCCTAGCTTCTTGTCCCTTCTCCTCCTCCTTCTCACAAGTAAAACAAGAATCCTGCAAAATTCCGAACGTTTCTTTCAATTTGCATAATGTATACCAGTCACAGAATCCTTCTCAGTGCAGTGTGTGGATTCCTGGTTGCCAGGCAGACAGGGGGACAGATGAGGAGGCAAAGCTAAGCTAGGCCCATTCAACACTCTGGAGGGAGGGAGGGAGAGAGAGAGAGAGAGAGAGCAAGGTGGCTTTCAGGACCATGGACAGCACCCCTGCAGCTGAGACCAAGCATCCAAGTTGTCTCAGCGAGGTGCTGGAGCAAACAGCAGAGCTTCGTAGCAGTAGCCATTGTCTTCTGGCCATGTTAAAGAGGTGCTGCCATTGACTGCTTCATGGCAATGGGGTTCCCAGCTGCAGGGCACTCTCTGCTCAAGGCTCTCTTTACCCTCTTAGGAGTCTGTGGACCAACCACCAGAGCTTTGTGGCACAGGAGTCTTCTTGGGGCTCAAGAGGGCAGCTGAGGGCTCCAGCGCCCGCACAACCACACAGGCAGACCTGGGTGTGGGCTCACCTCCTCCTCAGAGCTGCGGTCGCCAGAGAACTCTGGTCTAGGGCCAGAACATCTACCACATTTGGATGTAAGTGAAATACTAAGCATTACCATCTAAAGAAGGAAGACCCTCCCCCACCCAAAAAATATATACAGTGGTACCTCGGGTTAAGTACTTAATTCGTTCCAGAGGTCTGTTCTTAACCTGAAACTGTTCTTAACCTGAAGCACCACTTTAGCTAATGGGGCCTCCTGCTGCCGTTGCGCCGCCACTGCACGATTTCTGTTCTCATCCTGAAGCAAAGTTCTTAACCCGAGGTAATATTTCTGGGTTAGCAGAGTCTGTAACCTGAAGCGTATGTAACCTGAAGCATATGTAACCTGAAGCGTATGTAACCTGAGGTACCACTGTATTAGACCATTAAGACCAGAGTCTAAAATTACCTAACTGTCACTGCTAACTTAACGTGCTCTCATTTTCCAATCCATGATGGATGGAGCAGGGGTAGCAGGAAGAGATCATCTCAAAAGAGCAAGGAGGGAGGGTGCAAACCCCTCCCCTCTAATCAAAGAACTTGTCACTGTCTCTTTGGTGGCAGCATATGCCACTAACAATAACCGCGATCCGAAGGCTTTTGAAATCCATTATTAACGAGTAACATTCGCCGCCATCTCCCCCGCCATTCTAACGAGCTTTCCCTTTTGGATGTCATCCGGGGCCGGCATGGATCCCCAAGCGGCAGGACAAGCTGTCATCTCCGATTTTCTTCCAAGGGGGCAAGTGGTTTCGGAGGAGGAGGAAAGATGACCAGGTCTTCCTGACCTTTTCTCCTTCAATTCCGCTCCTCTCCTTCTTCAGAGAGAGGAAACGGGGGCAGGGAGGGAACCCCAGCAAATCACACTACGCAGAACTGACAAACTCATCACCGTGAGGTGCTGTTACATATACAATAGCCATGTCACTCGGCATCAGGAAGGAAGAGGTCCTGATGGAATTACAGCCCCATCATGGGTCTAATCGGTCAGTAGATTTAACTTTTTTTTTTCCTGGCAGCCTGGTGTCAATATAAGTTTTTGTATCTCTCTGGGTCTCGGAGCAGCCCAAAGTGACTTCGGTTACAGCTGAAGCCACCCTTTTATTTGTTATTTCACAAAATTTACATTTCACTTGATTTTAAAAGGAAACATCTGATCAGGTTTTCCAATGCATAAGAACAAAGCACAAGAAACTTAAATGCCTTCCTAATACAGAATGGGTCTAAGGTTATGGATGATGCAGACACTTCCAGGTAACGGAGAGAAGTAAGAAGTATCAGGTTCTTTTTCAGCTCTACAGTTCTATGTTTCTAAGTCCACTTATAACGAAGGAGAGGAAGCACTATGCAATCCGGATATAAATGTACTCATTCTTTTCGTTGGTGAACGGCAGCACAATTTCCAGGCTGGTTTGAACAACCAATCCATCTTCCCAGGGAACTCTGGGAAGTGTAGGGAAATAGGGGCCTCCTAGCAGCTCCCTCAGCACACCTAACAAACTACAGTTCCCAGGATCCCTTGGGGGACGCCATGACAATTAAAGCGGTACGATACTGCATTAAATGTCATGTGTAGGTGGGGCCTGAGATCTTGCATTATCAGAAAGACTGGAGAGATACAAAAGATAAAATAGCCAGGTCAAGGGGCAGCAGCTATAGGGGGCTCTTGGGACCCAAGCACCCACAAAATTTTTGTTGTGGGTGCTCAGCACCCACACCACAGGACCCCCAACGCAACTTCCAGTGCCTTGTAAATCACTGGAAGTCACATCTGAGGCCTTGCGAGACCTTGGAGATTTTGTTCGAGGCCTTGCGAGACCTTGGAACCTGACTCCCGTTGCCACTGGGCACGCATAACCTGGGGTCCAAGTCAGCGCCCCACGCCAATGAACAATGAGAATCACCTAATGCAAAGGTGAGCAGGTCATTTATTGCTATTATTAGTACTGGTGGTTTTTTTATAAAAAAAAATTCTTGTTACCATCAGTACTACAGTGATACCTCAGGTTACAGATGCTTCAGGTTACATACGCTTCAGGTTACAGACTCCGCTAACCCCGAAATAGTACCTCCAGTTAAGAACTTTGCTTCAGGATGAGAACAGAAATCGTGTGGCGGTGGCACGGCGGCAGCAGGAGGCCCCATTAGCTAAAGTGGTACCTCAGGTTAAGAACAGTTTCAGGTTAAGAACAGACCTCCAGAACGAATTAAGTTCTTAACCCGAGGTACCACTGTATTTTAGTAATTTAAAGAGCACCAGACATTTACTAAGCACTGAGCAAAGATGAACGGAAAGCAAGACCTCATCACCACAATTATTATTATGAATGATATTTGTTAAGCACCCAAGATTTACTAAGCATTGGACAAAGATGAAGGGAAACTCAGAGAGTGCCTGCCTGCAGGATGACAATCAAACAGACATGAAACAAGAGGGGAAAGGATGGGGGGGAGACCGGGGAGAAGCACACCCAGGTACCAATCTTTAAAGTCACGCTGTTGTTGCTTTTATGATGACTGGCTTGAATGGAAACCACTGAGGGAGGCAGCCCTGTGAAATGTCTGTCAGACTCCAAAGGCCACACCCTTCACTGGCCTTTCTTCACACCCCCCTTGAGCATTTTTGCCTGGCTGGAATGTGCCCTTGAACTCAGATCATCCCTCTTGATTGCCTGCCTGGAGGACAGAGAGAGATGAGTTCATACAAAGCTGCTGTACAAAGGGGCAAGTTTGTGTTTGCTGCTCCGCCCACTTTTGCCTCTGGCTCCACCCACCATTGCTATGTGGGCCCCGCCTCCAGAAAGGGATTGTGGCCCTTGGGCTTTAAAAAAAAATGCCCCCCACCTGACACAGGGTTTTAAAAAATGTATGTATTTATTTATAAAACATATATGTGCGCTGCTGCATCATTTAAAAATATCAAAGCAGTTTGCAGTGGTATCGGTATATCATAAAAAAGTGCACATTTAAAACCAGGGACCATCAACTAACTATTGAGGAAAGACAGTTTAGTTCAAACCACTCAAAACAATTCACTCTCTCTGGTACAACCTCTCTCATTTCACGGTTCCTTTCTTGAGTCTCTGTCTCTCACACCTTTGTCTCTCTTCCTGACACCCCCTTTTCTCTCTCCCTCTCTCTCTCCCTGCGAATTGGGGTGCCAGGAAAGGGGCAGGTAACTGTTGTCAGAAGCCGGAACAGATCGCTTGAAGAAGACTTCATTTCTCCCTCTCCTCCTCCTTCCATCCGTTTTAGCTCACCGCCCCCCATTCCCTCTCTTCCTATTCTTCCTCCAGGCTTCCCACATGCAGTCGGGCCACGGTTCACATGTGGCACTTGGACCCATGCAAAAGGAGGTGGCCATTTCTTTCAGACAACTCCACGTGTTTCCCCAAAGGCTGTCCAGCAGCAGAAACAGAATACGGTCAAATCTCAGTGTTGAAATGTTCAACAACCAAGGCGCAGCTTCCAATTGGTTGCAAGAGCTTCCTGCTCTCAAGCAGAAACTACGTTGGACGTTCAGCTTCCGAAAAACATTAAAACATTTTTACTTCCAGGTTTTCGGCATTCGGGAGCCAAAACGTTCCAAAATGGAGCCGTTCGGGAACCAGGGTTTGACTGTACTAGGCTTTCTTTTCAGCCAAAACGTTCTGGCACCTCTCAGGTGGGTGCCATTGCCATCCAAAGAAAACAAGGGAGCATTTCATGATGAGCTCCTCTTTTTCTAGAAAAATAGCACTGATTAGGCCACATAGACTTTTGGTGAGATTCAGCACGAAAACACTTACACTCTGTTTGTTTATTTTGAAAACCTGAGCTTGGTCTTTTTATTCATCGGAGTGGGGAGAGGAAAGGAAAGGAAATTATGGTGAAAATGAGAGGGGGGAGGTTGAGTTGGCTAGAGAGGTATTTAGAGTCCCCACTGCCCTCCCCCAGGAGCTGAAGGACACCACGGGGTGAAATTCAAATAAACAAACTGAGGGGGAAGAGCCCGGGCGGAAAGGGCCCCGTCTGCCGATTATCATCTGAAAAGATTCTGTCGCCGCGTTCTCTCTCGTCCACCCCGGTGATGAAAATGAGATTGTCTGATGTGCTCGCCAGGACTGGATTTACCTTTGCGAGGGTTTGCCCCCAATCAGCAGAGAGGGGTCGTGCCACAAGCATACTCAGAAAGAGAGAGAGAGAGATGTCACCTCTCAGCTTCATCAAACCGATGCCAATTTCAGCAAGGAGATATTATGCATTTCAAAGGGAATAAGACCCCAAAAAGGGGGGGGGACCTCTCTCTCACCCCACGTGTGGCTCTTGTCACTGATCTCTATCGCTGCGTGGTATACATGGAAAACGTGTGTGTTTTGCCTGTATCTCCACTCCAAGCATGAGGGGGGCTTTGTTTGTTACAAGGGATGCTCCTTAAAGATGTACAACTTGTCACACTTCATTGGCTGGTTTTTTTGCTTTTGCTTTTCAGGATATGAAGGGATGCCTGGGATAAAGGACTGTGTGTGTGTGTGTGAGAGAGAGAGAGAGAGAGAGAGAGAGAGAGAGAGAGAGGTGAAAGATTTCTAAACACACTCCCTGGAAAGGAGGGGGAGAACCCTAATAGTCTTCCTCTCCCATGCGGGTTGCTCATTAAAAAAAGAGAGAAAAGAAATCTCCATTTAAATGCAAATTCGAGTTTTAGCTGGGGACTTCCCCCAAAAGTATCTCTGGAAACGGCTGGGGAAATTGACTCGGAAAACTAAAATGGCTGACGGCTGTGGAAAAGCGTTTGCCATCCCAGACGTCTCTTCCGTGGCCACGTTGAGCTCCAGGCGAATCCCAGGATGCTGACAGTTGGATGTGGCGTGATGAGGAAGACCACCACCATGTTTGTTTATAGGCAGGCACTGGATTTATGTATAAAATGGGGGAAGGGTCGAGGGGGTTGCCTGAATAGGGGCACATGGAAGGAAAGAGCTGAACGTTTCCCTCACAACTTAACTTTCATAACAGGTAGTGAGGAGGCTGCCTCGTACCGAGTCACAGCACGGAACCATCTTGCTCAAAATGGCCTCCACTCTGGTGCTGAGAACTGAGTCCTCCCCTTTCAGGATAGTCCTTCTCCTGCCCTTCACCTGCAGATCCTCATCTGTCCAGTCCCATCTTGTTTCTGGATCACAGAATTGTGACTGAAACTGGAGCAGGAATGTTGAGAACTAGCGTGTGTGTTACAGGATTTATTATTATTAACTTTTGAACTGGCCTGAGATCTATGGATAAATGGTGGTACACAAATATAATAAATAAATAAAATAAAGACATTTATTAATTATTAGATTTCTATCCCAATTTTCCTTCAAGGACCTCAAGGTGATGGAATACATGATTCCCTCCTCTCCCTTACCTCCTCACAACAACCCTGTGATGTAGGTTAGGCTAAGAGACAGTGACTGGACCAAGGCCTCCCAATGAGCTTCATGACCGAGTGGGACTTAGACCCTGGTCTCCCAGGTCCTAGTCCAACAGCCTAACCACTACGCCACATTGGTTACCAAATCTCCAGCATTTTGAGGCCCTGGGCCCACCAAGTAGGGGTTGGTGATGTCGTGGAGTGAGACCTTCTGAAGTCAAGGAAATGCCAGCTCCTAAAAGTGAGAACTGTGATTCCTAGGCAGGCCAAATGAGAGGCAGTAGGGTTTCACAGCTAGCAGACCTAGGAGATCAAGGTTCGAATCTCTAGTCTGCTGGGTCACCTTGGGCCAATCATCGTCTCTCAACTGGGGACAGAGCAGAAATTCAATTCAGTTCACATTTAAAAAGAAAATAAAATCTATGGAATTCACACTTTCTGAAACAGTATGTGGCCCAAAACAGAGCTATCCTTCAAAATGCATATGTGTCTGAATTTTGAAATTCAGTTCTCCAATATTTACAAGCATGCGTATACTACAAGACAGCACTGTATAAAACAGTGTGTGTAATAAGATATGTATTTCTGGCGAACCGCATGCCCCACCTTCCTATATCTTTGCCTCTAGTGAGGGAACTCTCTGTATAGCAGGGACACTCTGTTGACTTTCTGCTCCATCTCTGTGGCTTTCTAGACTTCTCCCAGGATGCAAAAATCTCTGGTCTCCAGCAGTTTCTCAGCCTTCCCACTAAGATCGAGTGTAAAAAAAAAGTCGCTGCTTTTCATTTGGGAGTAATGCTAAGGTCTACCACTCTGTGAATTGCCATTTTAAGATGAATAATATGCATCATTAGCATCATTACGGTATAAGTCAGGAGTGGAAATGTGGAAATGGGTGCCATGTTGTGGGTGGTGAATCAGAGGTGGGTCTTGGGTCTGGACCAGTTGAGGTCCTGTACTGCTTTAGACTGCCTCTTGCTTGACCTAATCTTATGGGTTAATTTTTCAGAGAGAGCAATGGGCCAGATCCACCCAACACCATCCTGTCAGCATGAAATTTGAGGATGCTTTCCACCCTCTGGCTCCCATTATGCAGGTGCCATTTTAAAATATTAAGCAGTATATAAATGCTTTAGATAATAAATGAAGTTCCTCCCTATACATGCACGCACGCGCGCGCACACACACACACACTGGTCCCACTGCTAGTGATAAGTAATCTGACCTCACCACCACCACCACATCATTGGATCACCCAGAAATCCATGGGGGTGCCACAGCCATAGCAGAGAATAATGCTACCAGCTCAAAAGGGTGCTTTTTTAAAAAAAAAAAGGAAGAAAGCACACAGCGAATAAGCAATGTATAGCAAGAGCAAAATGAACTTTAATGCAAATGGCCAACCTGGGGGAAATAGCTTTCCCTGCGGCTCAGGCCGTGACTTGTTAAGTATTTTTTGCTTAAGTGCAAAATCTTTGTGGTATGGGTCATTAGGTTTCTGCACAGCAATGATAATCATAGGGAAAGAGAGCTCAGGGAGAGGAGTTTTGGATGGGGGCGGCGGGGAAGGAAACCAGGCCGGGCTTCCGTTCTTACTTGATCCTGGAGTACATCCAAAATAACCATCCATAAATCCCAATTTTGATCTCTCTCTCTCCCTAGCTCTGCAAGGCATCTCTCATTCATCCAGCTCATGTAAGACTTCCATACTGCTCATTGCTACTGCATTATATATAAATATTCCCCCTGGCATAGAGGAGAGAGTTGCAAGAGAGGCGAGACTGTGCCTGAGGCTGAAGCCCTCCCCTGCCTAGCCTGTCCCCTAAAAGGCCAAACCGCCATGTGTCCTCCATGGAGGATGGCTCTCGCAGCCGTTCTCAACCTGTGGGTCCCCAGATGTTGTTGGACTACAACTCCCATCATCCCTGAGCTCTGGCCTTGCTAGCTAGGGGTGATGGGAGTTGTAGTTCAACAACATCTGGGGACCCACAGGTTGAGAAAGGCTAGGGTTGTAGCTGAAAGTGCAGTGGTGCTTGGAGGTCATTGGGGCTGGTGGGGCGGAAGGCAGGGAGCCTAACAACAGGTGGCGCCAGAGACAATGACAGGCAGAGACAACTCAGTCTAGTTTTGTCCCCATCTTCCTCCTACCTGCTGAGTTGTAGAAGGGCGACGCTGAGACTAAGGAGGAGGGGGGATTTGACAGCCAATGACACCTCCTGGTTGCAAGGAAGAAAGCAGGTGGTGGTGGAGTTGTGATGGACTGGTTGGACGCAGAGGAATGGTGGGAGGAACCAGCTGGGAAACCCCCAAAGGGAAGAAGGCTCAGAGCCTGGGGATTGGTGGTAGGATGATGATGAGTGGTTAGAGGGAGAAGATTGGGAAGAGAAGGTGTTGGAAGCTGAAGAGGTGACAGGCTTTAGTGAGCAGGAAGAGTCTGTGGCAGACAGAAGTCCAGAATCAGAGACAGAAGCTGAGGCAGGAGAGAGGGAAGAGGGAGGCCAAGAAGCTGAGATGAGTCAGACTGAGGAAGAGGCACAGGTGTCTCCCCCTCCTGATCCCTTGGTCTCCCAGAACCAGAAGAGGCATGAGATAGGAGGAGCAAAGACAGGCATGCAGGCGCAGTCTATGGTTGCTTAGAAAACACGTAGAGACTTCACTGGCTATGGGGAGGTGGCAACCTTTAGACTCACCAACTGCTTCATGGGGGCAAGATCTGAGTTGCTGTGCTCATTAGGCCTGTGCAGATCCTCTTTTGCTAATAAAGAGTTAACTCTAGCTTTCTCAGTGTGATTTACTGCTGGCTGGCTCCTGTCAGTGGGATAGAAAGGTCCAATTTAATTGTCATTTTGCATGGGACTCCATCCATTACAATCACTATTTTGGTTAAAGACAGACAAAATGTGTTGGTTTCTCTCCCCCCCCCCCCCAGTGTTAGGTGTCATTCTCCACATTTCTATATCAGATATGGATATAGCTATATAGATGTGTATCTATAAAAATATAGCCCCATGAAAATTCATCCGCATTTTCCTGCAAAGTTCTCCAAATATACACAAGTTTGCTTGCTTGCTTGCTTGCTTGCTTGCTTGCTTGCTTGCTTGCTTATTAAATTTGTACTTAACTTCTGACATAATAATGCCATTATGCAAATCTGTGGTGCGATCAGAAGCAAATTTAGGGGAGTGTGACCAGTTCAGTTGCCTTGGGCTCAGAGTCTTGAGGTCACAGCCATGGGTGCCACAACTATGTTATAGAATGGAAAAGGAGAGGCCAAGCGCCAAAATTTAGCATTGCGCAGGGTGCCTCTGAAATTTGAGACCCCCACATCTGCCACTGGTGCAACCACGTTTTGAATACTGAGTACAGTTCTGGTTGCCTCACCTCAAAAGGGATACTGTAGAGTTGGAAAAGGTTCAGAAAGGGGCATTATCTATCTATTTCACTGGCATTATCTATTTACAGTGGTACCTCTAGTTACGAACTTAATTCGTTCCGGAGGTCCGTTCTTAACCTGAAACTGTTCTTAATCTGAAGTACCACTTTAGCTAATGGGGCCTCATGCTGTCGCTGCGTCGCCTGCACAGGATTTCCGTTCTCATCCTGCGACAAAGTTCTCAACTTGAGGTAACTCTTCCAGGTTAGCAGAGTTTGTAACCTGAAGCGTTTGTAACCTGAGGTGTTTGCAACTTGAGGTACCACTGTAATTCATAAGAGTTATCTACTGCTGGACTGTAATAAAACTTCTTAAATGGTTTACATAAAAAATAAAACATTAAAATGATCACTGGGAAACAGTTAAAAAACAGCCATTTAAAATAGTCCAGAAAGAGAAAAGAACTTGCAATCAACAATAAGCTAAAAGCCAGACCAAAGCATATGCCAACATTCTCTGTGACAGAGATTGCGGTGGGTGGCACAGAGGGCAGAAATCGCCCTCCAAGCTGGCAGGGGATAGCGGCAACCTCAATATTTGGGGGGGCTCCACCCCTGCCTCAAAATATTTAGGGGGCTGAAGCCCCTTGCGCCTCATATACCCAGTGCCCCTGGATGTTGTGAAATAAGCAATGATCACAATCTGGTTTCAAAACTGGGGTTCTTTCCCATAATAAAATACAGTAAAACACACACACGCACACACACTTTCTTCTTAATTTAATTATACCCTCTGCAGTTTGAAAAGGGAAGGGAGGTGGGAGAGGAAGAGCAAGGTGGGTGAATCTTCTTAAACCCGGTCTGTTTAATTTTCTAGTGCATTCACCCATCGTTACCCGTGGCAAATTGGCTGAAATTATTCAGCAGCTATGGGAGTCCTAGTTATAGGTGTTAAACACACACACACACAATTAGCTGTGAAGCCGGCATCGGAAGCCATCTCTTTCAGGAGCAGAAATTGTTAGAAGGAAAGAGACAAGAGGATTGGGGTGTGTGCATGTGTGTGAGAGAGCACACACAGATCTCTCTCTCTCTCTCTCTCTTTCTCTGCTGAGCAATATGTGCTGCAAAACCAGATTCTGGATTTTAAAAAGAAAGAAAGGAAAGCTTTGTTAATGTTTCGCCAGATCCGTTCATCACCCGCTCTCCACCGATAAAAACTGATGGCCCACATTCAGTTTCGACCATGTGCATTAAATTCCCATAACATGAACAGGGTTCTGTTAAGTCTACCATAGCCTTTCCTCCCCCTGTCTGTCTCTCTCTCTCTCTCTCTCTCTCTCTCTCTCTCTCTTTTCTCCCCCTCTTCTCCTTTGTACAGAGATTACATTTCCAACCTAATGACAAGAGCGGTTTGTTCAGACACTGTGGGCCAGAGCAGAACAGCCATTGAACTCTTCCTACAATCCGTCACGGTGGGT